TTTACAAGATCTGGTTTTGTGAGAAATGCGTTAATCTCGGTCATTCATTCTCCTCACTGTATACGAAGCGTAAATATCTCTTTTTTACAAATTAATTTCAAACCAAAATATGAATTTAAAATTTAAACAGAGTATGCAAACTGTCAGTTTTATGTCAAGTGAAAAAGTTCGAATAGTGAATGATTGTAGTCGATTTGATATTAACCGATAAAATCAACTTAGTCGACTAAAGTCAGTCAATTTTTAAAACTTGATTTTGACGACTCTTAGTTATGAATATAGGAGATTTAAAAGAATCGGCAATGGGTGATGAGAAAAATTTCATAGTGATCGAAATAGTGCACAAGTATTCTTGCATAATTTTGGCTATGGGTGATGAGAAAAAATTCATGTAATATATTATTACATACTAAAAGGCAATCGATTTTTGCATGGTCAGCTAAGCCAATTTTAAATTTCGGCTCAGTCAAATCAAAAAACTTAGATCGACTGCAGACGTTAGATTAGATTCAATTCGAATTGATTACTACTTATTAGCTTCGCTGTTATACCTATTTTCCACCTTATAGATATTACATTAAACAGCCTAGCTATATTATTTAATGCTTATGGCTAAGTAAATGTAAAAACCAAAAACAACAAGGCATTAATATAAAAAGAAAATTATAAAATCATTCGTCATATCGAATTTCTGTATCCCCAAATTGGTTGGTTCTAATTTTACCACCACGACGCAATTCATCAAATTCTTCTCTGGTTCTTGGTAAATCCATCATAGGCCTATCTCCATCATCCTTACCAATGGGCTTTTGTTGCGATCCATATAGGTTATTATTACTTTGTTTTTGTTGACCAATTTTAGCATTTGCACGGATTTTATCCCAAGTAGTTGAAGTCGTGTTCTGTGTTCGATCTCTATTCAAGGAATTATTGTCTTGTGGTGGCCATGAAGATTTATGAAATGGCTTTTGCGGTTGATCTAATTCACTCAATACAGTATAATAAATCTTGATTAAATTTCCGTTCGAATAAAAAATATATATTCTAATATTTTATGATATTTAATAATTACCGTAACTATAATCACTTTCATTTGCATTAATGTCACTAACCATCTCATCTGTTACTGTCATGGAATTTCCAGAATCGTCATATGTTCTTTGATGGAACGAATATTGGGGTTTGTTCTCCTTTTCAAATTCATCAGATAGAGTAGTTTGATCGCCATTTTCAAGTCTATAATCATCAGAATTTGGAGGTTGATTTGGAGGTTGATTTGGAGTAGGTAACGGACGATTAGGATGAACTTGCTGTCTTTTTTTTTTTTCATTATATAAATTAAATTTCTCTCATATTTAAAAAATTTGACCGGATCAAAGACAATATATAGTTTTTAAGGTAATTATAATTCTAAAAAAACTCACTGCATTTCACTTATAAATTCCATAATGCGTTGTGAATTTGGTGATGATCTTATCAGTTTAATACTCGCTATCGACCCAGTCACCATTCCTGCCTGGCTACCAAACAAAGTAGTACCTATAATAATACATAAAAATATTAGTTAAAGGCAGAAGCATCAATCGTTTCGACAAATAATTACGTAATTAATATTTATTAATTTACCAAAGCATAACCAAATAGTACCAAAAGTTCTAATTTTTTGAACTTTGGCTTAATACATTATACAGTATATAATAAAAAAAATTTATTTTAATTATTGTTATGTATTAATAAATTTTTATCCTGTAAATATATGTATATATTTTCACGAAATTTAGGAAATAATTGAATGGCTACAAACCAATAGCTCCACCAATGACTAAACCCGCCAAAGAACCTATTCTCACTATCATTAAATAAATGGTATATATTATTAAAATAAATTAATATGCAATTCAAGTTTAGATAAAATTGTAATTATGTATAAAAATGATGAAACCAACACACTATGCATAGAAAATTTTGACTTGGCACGATTAAGAATTTCAATTTCTTCTGCCTTAAAATTGTATTCTTTAGCTCGTTCTTTAATTTTATCATATACTGACATTTTTTTATTTATTTATCGAAAAATCAAGTGTCTAAGTGATCGATCTGCGTGTATCGATATCGATATCAGGTGTATTATACAGTAATTTTCTTGTGATTCACAGATCACATGAAATTAATAACAGCTATAACTGATAAAAAAACGCTTTCATATTTGTGCTACACAATTTGCATTTTTTTAGACTGCGTTATACAAATTACAAAATGAAAACTCAATGTGTCACGAAATTGGTTGCGTTTCTTATCGTTATATATCATCATGCGGAAAAATTTGGGACTTAAGACTAATGAAACTTTTTAATTTTTTTTTTTAGGTTTATTAATTTATTTTCTTAATACGTATTGAAGATTTTGACGAAACAAAAGACAATTCGATGATCACTTCTAAATCTATCTTCGATAATTGAACTAAAAAATTTTTATTAAATACAGTAGCATAAAATTGAATGCGAGTTTAGACCATACTATACACAACATATAATACAAAATAGTTATCTACTGTAATTTAAATCGAAATGGTTTGAACATTTGATTGAAGTATCTAGGGTGTTCTCAAGCACCAACCTAGATGTAATTTCATAGTGATCGAAATAGTGCACAAGTATTCTTGCATAATTTTGGCTATTGTCATAACAGTTTAGATAAAGGCCGTTCTCAAGCACCTCACTCAATGGATCGGACGTAAATTTTTAATTAGTCGGAAATTAAATAAATCAATCAA